TCAGCGCAGACGCTGCGAAGAACGTCTTCGATGACGCGATTCACCCTTTCGGTTTGACATTCGGTCTGCAGATGATCCGCTGTCGACATATCCGACTTGGTGCCAAGCACCTTGACCAAAATTTTCCCGTGAAACGGGGTTTCTATCTGAGACAATCGACTCAGGGAGTCCGTGTTGACGGAAAACACGATCCAAGAACAGCGTTGCGGTACCGACTCCGTCGATGGTGTCTGGCACCGCCGCCAGATAAGCCATCTTGCTCAACCGGTCGACGAATACCACGACACCCGTATTGCCCGCCGAATCTTTCGGCAGGCCAAACACAAGGTCCAAACTCATGTACTGCCAGCACCCAGTGGGTACCGGTAAGCTGACCAGCGGCGCAGCCGCGTTTGGAGCGGGTTTTACCCGCTGACACATCTCATACGTGCGCACATAAATGCTCGTCCATTTGTACTACTTGGGCCACCAACAATGGTGACAGAGTTGTACGTTTTCTCACGAACAAGATGACCACTAAGAGGCGTATCGTGAGCCTCATAGAGGATGCGGTATTTCAAATCAATATCATGAGGAACCACAATTCGTGGTGTATCCGCTGAATCGGTGCTATGATATAGGAATTCAACGAATATCGATGCAATCGTGCATGCCATCTTGATGACAATTCTGTTGTCTGAGTTTCCAAACTCCGTTATCCCTAAAGCCCGTAGCAACGCTACACACATCTCATCACCCGCATACACGGTGCGGATCAATCCGTCACAGACGACGCTACAGTTGTAACATGAGCAAGATCATAGTCTGGTCTGCGTGATAGAGCATCAACCAAAGCATTCTGCTTTCCCGGCTTATACTTTACTTCAAAGTTATATTCCGCAAAGAAGCATAGCTATCTAGCCATCCTCTGCGAATGGTGGGGGGACTGAGTCGCAGTGCGTAGTGATGCATGATTAGTATGGATCACAAACGGCTTGGAGCCGAGGAGGTGGACCCTGAACTTGATAAGTGCATACTTCATCGCAAGCAGATCCTTGTCATGAACTGGGTAGTTCTATTCTACAGCTTTGAGCTGTCGAGATTTGAACGCGATCACCCGATCTCGCCCCTCAGCGTCTGCTTGCAGCAGTGCACATCAAATGGCAAAGTTCGAAGCGTCACAGACGGCGCTAAAAGGACGATTGGGGTCTGGCAGCGCCAGTATCGGTGCATGCAGGAGGCTACCTTTGACCCCTTCAAAGGCCTCCTGATGTTCGGTGGTCCAACACCATTTCGTATCCTTTTTAAGGAAATTGGATAATGGTCGGGCCATTTCGATGTAACTTACGCTATACTTGTGCAAGTAGCTGGCGAGACCAAGCCACTTAACCAAGTTCTTCTGGTTCGTTGGAACCGGCCAGTCTACAATGGCCTTGATCTTAGCGGGATCCGCTCGAAGGCCACACTTCCCAATGAAGCACCCTAAGAACGGAATCTCTTCTGCGACAAAGA